CCCAAAACCCCAAAACCCCAAAACCCCAAAACCCCAAAACCCCTCTTTTGGAAACTTAAATGAAATACTAATTATCAACATTTATCTTATCTTCATCACAGAAGGAAAAGTTGAAGAAGAGCAACCGAAGATGGAATTTGATTTAGTCTCATTGGGGGGAAAAACATTCCAAAAACGTAATGTTTCATCTCCAGCTCCAGTTACTATGGTCTGTCCATCAGGACTCAAGGAGAGGTAAAGAACTCTGAATGTGTGACCTGTTAAAGTTGTCACTTTAGACATTGATGGGTACTTCCAAACAATTATCTGGTTCAAGCTATACCCATGAGTAGATACAATTTCATTCACATTTTTAGAAAACGTCAAGTTACACACTTGACTTTCTGTATCTATACTGTCAATATTTTCGAGGGTAAGCGTATTCCAAAATTTAATTCATCTATCTGCTGTTCCTCCTCCTGTAGCTAATAATCCATGTTGATGTGGCGACCACCCTATAGCTTTCACAGCAGCTGAATGGTCTGAAAATTTAGCCAAAGGATCTTTGTTCTGAACGCTCCAGATGAATAATTTATTATCATTTCCTCCTGAAGCTAGCTGTTGATCATCTGGGCTCCACTTGAGACCGCATACTTCTTGTTTATGTCTCTCCCAATCATAAATTAACGGACTGTCTGCTCTGACATCTCTCACTAAAATCCTTCTATCTCTTGACCCTGTAGCTAGTATAGATCCGTTCCAGGCGCTCGCACCTACTCTTCCATTATGCCCACCCATTGTTCTGATCAACTTAAGTTGCTGTGTGTCCCAAATTTGAGTTTCTCCATTACTGATTCCAACAGAGAGATGCTTTCCCTTCTGAGACCATGCTACAGAAGTGATACTGTTCCCATAATCTGTCTCTCAGAGCTTTGTTACTCTGCTATTTCAGGCGCTCCAGATGTAAACTTCAGTGCCTAGACCAACAGCCAGCATGTTCTGGCTACTCCAATCTACAAGATTAAGGTAGAAATCATCTTGAAGCTGGGGAGCATCCAAGACCTTAAAAGGCAGTTTTGAGACTTTTCTACTAGGCTTGAGGTCAGCCTGATAGTATGCATCTGAATTCATATTTAACATCGAGGCTAAACCGCTGCTATACTTCTTTCAGCTTGGTTTCTTCTTATACTTCAAGAGATTCTTATTCTCTTTCTGCATTTTACTTCTTCCTTTGGTGTTAGAATAGGATGAAAAATTCGGCTGAGCAATATTATCAGCCTGATTTATACAAGATAAGTTCATCTCATGTAGAGCTTCATCTCCCCCAAAGAACTGACTCTCTAGCAGAGCATTATAATTCTGAAGGCTTGAATTGTCCTCTCTGGATGTATCAGACTCAGAGGAATATCCCTTATTAGGTTTGATATCCTCATTGTTGAGTAACAATGAGTGACTTGACTCTAAATACGATCTTCAGGGGATAAATCTATCACCACTGGTCTTTTCATTGAAATGATAGCTCTTAGTCATAACGATAGGAGATGCTGCATCTTTCCTTTCTTCTTTAGAGTAGCCTTTACTTTCTCTGAAGCTAACAGGGTCGCCAAAAGAGAGGTTATTCTCCTTAGAATTCTTTGGGATCGCAAGTTTATCTAGCTTAGACATCATTTTATTTAATAAATTATGCAAACTGTCTATCCGTTAAATTTTGTGGTGCCCAATCTCAACAAAAATAAAGGGGTTTTGGGGTTTTGGGGTTTTGGGGTTTTGGGGTTTTGGGG